GAACTATACCGTTCAGACAAAGTCATACACCTGGAGTGTACGCTTGCAAGTATTTTTAAACCAAAAAAGAAATCTGTTGCATCCATTAGCTCAGTTATGTGGCAGTGGGGTCTAAAAAAGAAAACCCTGTTAGCTCTCTTAGCTTCATTTGCTCTGTTGGCTTGTCTCAGTGCTTGCGAGTAAGCTTTACTTGTCGTCATTTGGGGTGGTAATACCACATCTATCACAGCTTCTGCAGGTTTTATTCCATATGGAAATGTAGTTACGTTGGTACCAGTCATTGTGAGCCACTGGGTGGGATTAGGAAGGACGAGGGTGAACTGAGTTATAGCTTTCTGCTGAGCGCAGATGAGAGAATGACCTGAAGAAACCTTTGCCCTCCTTTCTCTCTGGAAAATCCAATTGTTGCTGTAAAGAGTTCCCAGGAAATGAACCAGTTTCCTTGCTTTGTCACTCTGATACAAATACATACATTATTGTCTTCTTATCCCACAGCCTTTTATTACACTTCTCTTCTTCTGTTTTATCTCTGTACCCGCCTCGACTTTTATCCCTCAGTTTTGTCTGAGTCACGTCGGCTGCTCCATTAGTACCTATTTCCTGTTTACTTCACGTGGATGTCAGGTTGTCGCTCGAGTTTTAACTGCACTTCTTCATTTGTTCAGAGTTTCCTTTATGTTACATTTTCCTCGTGCAGTCTCTGTTGTTGGGGAGAAAACTGAGCTCCTGCCGCCGCCTGTTTTATTGCTCAGATGAGTCATTCTTTCCTCCATTTGCTCCGCGGTTCCAGCTCCTTGGGGTTTGTTTTGAGATCTTTCAAGTCGCAGCAGATGCAGCCAGTGTAGCTGACTGTGTGCGACTGGTGGCGCAGGTTCCTGCCCGGTCCAGTAACTCCTCTGTCCTCTAGACTGAACTTAAATGATAGTAACTGATGTCACTTTGTGGGTTCCCATGACATCATGACAGAGATGAGTGTTTCCTGATGTTCGGGGCGCGGTCAGCTGGTAGATTTGACTTCCTGTGTTTGAGTAATTTGACACTGGCAGGGGTTCTCATGGAAGTCGCGTGATGTCTGTGTCGTAAAGAAATCTTTTCTTCCTAGAATGGATTCATCTTTTTGGGCCTTTTCGTCAGACCTTCCAGGAAGTTTGGATGTTGTGATCGCAACGATTTCCCTGGAAATTTTGCGTGAGCTTGAACTTTTCTGCAAATCTGACCAATCGTTGTCGTTTCCCGGGATAATGATTTAAAAAAATAGCGAGGGGCATATTTACAAGTCACACTGAGGCTCTTAGATATATAATTTTGTCCTACTGTCTCCAAAAATGGACTGAAGCTCTGGCCCAATGCCAGTATCAATGTTTGACAGCTTAATAAAATTGATAACCAAATATCGGTCAGTGTTTGTTTTTCACATTAAGATAAATGTTAAAGGTTTTTGATTAAATTCCCCCTGACATATACTGAGCAGGACGTTTTACAACAACATAATAATGAAGACAGTGGGTCTATTATTCACCTCTGACTGACAGTATCACTTCTATAATGCATTTTCTACATATTAACCGAGTTATACACCAGTACTGATATATCTATGATATCGGCAGAAATACCAGTCAGATATATATTTGAGTTTTTACAGCAAATGCTTCTGTTTGATCAAGAAACTTTGTATTATAACAGGAAATCTGTCAATGATTAAAACAAGAAACCTTTCTTATTATATGTGCTCCAACTTCTGTTGTTAAAACAAGATCTATTTTTGTTCAGGATCCTCCTTTGTGATCTCAGTTGGCTGCTAACTCAGATATTTTTTTATATTTATTCTTTTTTATCTGTTAATGAGCCGTGGAGGACTTTATGAAAGATTTATACAATGGCATCATGCCTGTTCAGCATGATGCCATTGTAGTTATCTGATTTATTCTTCTCATTGTAAGCAGAAAACACTTCCGTAGTTAATGTTATTCCAGGTCATGGCTCCATGTTAAACCAATACTGTGATAGGTAGTACAGTGCAGCAGTAACTCAACACACACACACACACACACTTTACTGTGTAATACCTGCAGATAAACAGCTCATCAGACGCTGACACGCTTCGTGAAATCCATCAGCACTGAACGAGACTTTGTCGCCAGCGTGCTATAAATAGCACATAACTGGAATTTTAACCCAAAGAGGAAGACATCGTGACGCTGACGCCGGCATCGGTGTGAGTTTGTTTGTTTATGTACACGGCTGTGTGCACGTGGACCGTCCTGTATGTACTCCCTGGATGTGCCACATGCACCATGTTAGTGTGAGACAGAGTGACCTTGCGTTCTCGTTGGAGAAGATACAGGCGGCAGTGGGTACTCCTTCATCCCCCGAGCAGAGGAAGCACGTTACAGGTAGCAGACTTATAAAGGGTGGTGGTGTAAAATACAAGAGTCTTGTTGTTGTAATTCACTTGTAGAAGTACTGAAGTGGCGTGTAGAGAACGCTGAAGTGCGGAGTATACTTTAAAATTGTTTAAATACATTATACAGTATAACAAATCATACAGAAATAATACAGAATTCTGAATTAAACCTAAAATCAAGCATTAAAATGTATTGGAAGTGCCCACAAATAACCCAAATATACGTTTGTCGTTAGGTTTTACACATAAAAAATGCACATATAAAGCATTTTTGTGTGTCTCAACTATTATAATAACAAATAAAGACCCATTTTGGAAGTAAAACAACACTGTAAATTATATTATTGTACTTTTACAGTAAATTACAGGCTAATAATTACGTTGCAGTGAATTCACAGTAGCATACAGTAATTATTTGACAGTAATATAGATAAAAATGTAATGTACTGTGTTTCTACAGTAACCATAATGTAGATTTTAGAATCATATTAACAATTGTTTCGTAATAATAGTTTGTAATAATATATCATGGATCATTTTCTGGTGAATGCAGAACAGTGAAATGAGGAGGCACACACACACATACACACACTATTTATTTATTTATTTATTTATTTAGAGAGCGAAGCCTTCCTGTTCCACCTGAATGTAATCTATATTCAAATGTGTCTCTGCACAATCCTCCCAGTGTGTCAGTTATGTAACCGGTCTGTCACAGCGAACTCGCCGTCCTCCACGGCGGCTTTAAAGCTGCTGCGCTGACAGCGGCGGCGGCGGTGGCGTTCACTCTCAGGTCGTCAGCAGATACAGACACACACACTTCAAAGAGCCTCATTTGTCTGAGAGACATCCATCATTTGACTGAGAGTGACACTTAGTAGGATGAAAGTGAAACACACATCAGTCTCTTTGCACCAATGCTAGCAGCTCGGCTCTGTGGATGTCAGTCTGTCCGTCCGTCCACCGCTTTGGTTCGCACTCTGTTGGACGGACTACAATGAGATGTTGTGTCTGACCTTTCCTCCAGAGACTTTGTGGTTTTTAGAGAAATGTTTACAACAACTATTGGATGGATTGCTGTGACATTCGGTTCACCCCTCAGGGTGGATTTGAACTTTAACGACTCCTTATCTTCTCCTGTAGCGCCACCATCGGGTCTAAATGTAGATGTAAAATACCTGCGAACCTAACGACAGTCCCATCAGCTGTTGCTCTGGTGGTTGAGCAGCTCGCCTGTTGATTGGAGAGTTTGATTCCTGGATCCCACCCAGTCCATTCGAGTCCTTGGACAAGACATTGAGCCCAAAGTGACTTCCGATGGCTGTGTGAGTGTGAGTGTCACCGTTAGCGCTTTGGCGAGGAAGCACACTGAACACCTTACTGTACATGGCAGCCTCTGCTATCAGCTGCTAACGGAGTGATTTTAAAATCTGAGAAAACACAAAACCAAATATGATATTCATGTAGAGAAAGTTATTCCAAAAAAGAATAACTGAACAAAGAGCTACTGAATTATTACGGGTTTCCATCCTTTTGTAATGTCTGTGGTTGTGAAGTGTCTGACAGTGTGCGTGCTTTCACTAGCTGGACCAGAGAATATCTGTCTGTGCTTTGAGCTGGGTGCTCTGCCAGAGAGAACTGGCATTGGAAAAACGAGAACAAGCTCTATAATACAGTATCATAAGAAAGAGGATGCGGTGTATCTGCAGTAATTAGGCTCCACTAAAGCTTCATTCACCGCTGTAATGAGCTGCAGTCGGCTGAATGCTGCAGAGTTTGGTTTATTTTCTCTTCCTCATTTAATTTAAGGTTTAGAAATGTGTATGTTTCACACATATTGGTCTACCCTCCTCCATATAGACGATCATTAACAGCACCACAAAGTACAGCCTCAGAGACAGCATGACAACCCTCCTGAAGGCGGGGTGTAAATGCATTATGCTGCATTAGTTTTAGCTAGGTGAACCTAATAAACTGGCAACTGGTCTCATCTCAATAAAGGAAAGAGACCACAGTGAGTCCAGAGACTGAGAAATATAGTATTTCCTTTTGCTGATGTTGTGTGTTGATTAGAAATCGCCCTAAATGACAGCTGAACATGTAAAATGTACACGTATCACACTGCTCTAAGAAAAAGAGAGAGAGAGTCAGAGGTTGTTCAGTCTGGATTTACACTGCAGATTGTACTAACTGAAGCAGACTGCAGTGCAGGGTTGCCACCTGTCCTGTATATAATCCAGGATCATCCCATATCGGGATCATTTTGCACCGTGTCTGTGACCGGGTGCAACATTCATGTTGAGAGCAGCAGATGATTTTAAAATTGATGCGTAAAAAGGACAAACTGTGCATAAAGATTCACCAGAATGCAGAAATAAAGTGTGTGACACCCCCCATCTCAATGGGGGAGGATTTGTGTCCTCCCTACGGCATGAGGCTGCTGCCAAGGTGTCCCTTCTTTTTCCACGTTGAAGGGGAACCGTACTGCTCGCGCCTGAAAAAAACATGGAAAAGTTGTGGAATTCTACATTTGGGTGATGATGGGAATTCTGTATTTAAATCATCTAACTCCTAACCTTTCTATCTCACATTACAGGTCCATTATCCAGATGTGGAGAGAGTGGAGTGGCTGAACAAGGTACACACACACACACACACACACACACACACACACACACACACACACACACACTCTCATTACCTTTATCTCTCTCTGGTTTGCTCTACATCAGGTGCTGTTAACCTGTTAGCTTACAGAGAAAGACAGGTAGGATATATAAATAGGATCTGAATCTGGAGCTGTGCTAGACCCTGACCCAGTGCTACCGCCTCCCTGCAGAGAGAGAGAGAGGGAGGGAGAGAGAGAGAGAGAGAGAGAGAGAGAGAGGGAGAGAGGGGAGAGAGAGAGAGCATCACTTACTGTAAATGTCCAGGTGGACTTCCAGTCAGACGTTAATGGATGCAGATGAGCAGGAAAAGAGCTTTTTAATGTCCTGTTGTGTTTGTCTTTTATTGTTGTTTACATGGACAGAGGGTCTGATTTAAAGCTGTAATAAGAAAGACTCCTCCAAAGATCAGGATTGCCATCATTTATCTGCGAGGGGGCTGATAGGCGATCAATACGGGTGATAATCCCTAGCACTACGGCATATTAACGACATTAAGAGACCAGTTTTACAGTGGAAACAGCTGGAAAATGTAACTGTGGACTCCATATTGTGTTTGAAACTTGGCTGTTAGTCTGAAAACCTGCGCAGTATAAACATGGACCTCCTACCTGTAAAGAACCTGAGACTCTACATCACGAACCCTGCATTATTTATTTATTATGAGCTAGTGTTTCCTGTAATGTCAAGAAAATTCCTGGAATATGATTGTTTAGAAAGAGTGGGAACCTTCTGCTGTATGTTTATCAGTGCTTTACACAATGGTTAGTACTGCAGTCCGTCTACAGGCGCAGTGTAAATACAACACACTGGTCCCTTTCTCATTTAGACCTAATGAATACATTGCAACATCAACCTCTACAGTCTGCAAACAATGAGACAGCAGCTCATTCCCCGTCTCTTCCCACACATAAAGAGAGAACGCAGTAATTCCTCCTCGGGATGGAGCCTGTTAAAAGTCCACCGAGCAGCACGCAGTAAAAACCATCGCAGGCGTGTATCGGCGTCACAGGGAATGTGGTCACGAGCTCTTTGTGGGATCTGGACTGATTCTCTGTCTCTCCCTCAGACGGTGAAACAGATGTGGCCGTTTATCTGCCAGTTTGTGGACAAGCTGTTCAGAGACACCATCGAGCCGGCGGTGAAGGCCGCCAACCCTCATCTCAGCACCTTCTGCTTCACCAAGATCGACATGGGCGACAAGGTGACGACGTGACGACATACAACGCACACAGCACTTCTTTTTATTGTAGTTTAAACTGAAACTAAGTTTTTCACACATGAAAAAAAGGCGCAGAAAGCAAAAACAAGACAATAAACAGTGCAAACCTTAAACTTTATTTATTTGCCAACTATTTGGGTAATTGAGTAATAGTCAAAGTCATTTTTTAAATGTCAAGTCTTTTAAATATGGAGATTTCCTGCTTTTCTGTGTTTTATATCATATTAAACTGAATATCTGTGGGTTAAACAAGACATTTAAAGACATCATCTTGGACTTTTTTCTCAAGGTTTTTAACATTTTATTTATCAAACAATGAATCTATAATCTGCAAAATAATGGATAATGTAAATAATCAATAGCTGCAGCCCTACATCTTACACTACTAACAACTACTGTTTTATAGCAACAATAAAAGCAGACGTAAAGCTGGAAATTTAGAGAGTGGTTTTCCAGTCATGGAAACACTGGTAATTGATTAAAATGACCAAATTTCCTGGAAATAAAGAGAAACTCCTGGAAATGATTAGTTAAAAAAGAGTGTGAACCCTGGTAATGTTCACTGTGATGCATCATTTAATTTAAAGGGAAAACACACTGAGAAATATGAAATACTGGTATGTAAGTTATCAGATATTTGTATTACTGAGGATAAAACGTGTGAAATGAGGTATTATTGGTTAATACTGCTGCTGAGTGTCAGTGTTAAGATCTTTTATTGGCGTGTTTCTATTTCCGTCTACTTTGTTGCTGTTGAACTTCCCTGAACTGAACGTTTCGTCTCCGTTTCAGAGCGTTTGTTTGCAGGAGGACAAAAAGCAGCAAAGTGAATCTGGGTTTTTAATCTGTTATGAAAAGCATTCCTCCTCTTGTTTGTACCAAGCTGTCTTTTGTTTGTCTGTTCTGGCTTAAGCCTCGTTCTGAGCCAGACTGCGCTCACATTTCAGAGCAGAGCGGCGTACGTAGGCGATGAACAGCAGATCTGAAGAGTTGCAATCCAACTTTTCCACTCTGGGCAGATTTATGAAAGATTTGCTCACTTGTGTTTCCTGTTTTATCTGTTTTATCTGCAGCCGCTGAGAGTCAACGGGGTCAAAGTTTACACGGAGAATGTGGACAAGAGGCAGGTCATCATGGACCTGCAGATCAGGTACGCAGTAAAGCTCTCACATCCACAGACTCATAAGGCTGTCGATATTCTGTTATTGTCAACATACCCCATGAAAAACCAACAATGACTTGATAAGATAGACTGTATGATTAGGAATGGATGAAGCTCAGTGTCGCCTCACCTGTATTATAAATACAGGTGAGTTATATAATAATCTACCCCTGTACAGTTGTTATAAGTGGGGAAATTAGCTATATAGAGACCTGCAGGCTTGATTCGTCAGCCATTGTCGCAGTGCAAATAGTCTTAAACGCACTATTTACTATTTATTTTGAGGAACGTTTGTGCAAAGCTTTTTTAGGACATTTCTGAGCCTTAAAAAAAACAAAAACAACATATTTGCGAGCTGTTTTTAAAGATTTCTACCTTCAGTAATCACGAATGGGTTGAGAGGAGCAGATAAGGTAAAGTACTGAGAGACAGACGAGCACATTGTTGGTTTCTGTCAGTGGGATTTGTTGACAATAACAAAATAATAGAATAACACCAGCCTTTTCCTTTCAGAATAAAAGTCTTTCTGTTGAACATGAAGCCATGAGTGTACGATATGTATCCTTCTCTTTCACATTATATCATTAATCCTCCTTTCAGCTTTGTCGGGAACACGGAGATCGACGTGGACATCAAGAAATACTACTGCAGAGCTGGAATCAAAAGCATCCAGGTACGACGGCAGTGTGGATGTTACACGCCGTTTTATGCCGTGTCATGAGCTTTGTCAGCCAGGCTCACACAGAGTGAATTAGGAAGTGGCAGGTCTCTTCTCTTTCCTGCTCCGTTACTAGATTAACTAACAGACGCAGCTCTGTTGTTTCACTTAGTGCTGAAACTATGAGTTCATTAATTATATTGAATAGAAAATGAATGAACACATATTTTAATGTCATGTGAAGATACTCTGTAAGCCGTGTCAGGTATCAGTGAAACAGTAACCATACCAACCCATTTTAATACTGTTTATTAACTGACACGTTGTTTCAGCAGTATCAGAATACTATAGATACTATAAAAGTAATAATGAAACAGATTGACTGAGTTTAAATCAGTTAATTAAAACTAATTGAACCACATTGAAACTCATCAAACATCAATGGAACAAAGAACAAGCATTTTAAGACTAATTTTAAGAGTATAGAACAATAAAGAACAACACAACATTAACAACAATAAATTATATTTAAATCTATAAATCTAAAAAATTGAAAATAATTCATATAAATACCAGGGAGACAAATAATGTATATGACCAATGTTTAAAACCCTCAAAAACTGAGCTATAACTCCAAATTCATAGAAAAAAAGAGTCTGTCAGACAGAAGTGGCCCTTTACTGGTGGTAGCCCTCATTCCTTCGACCGTGACCCCTGCACTGACCTGTGACCTCTCCAGAGACATTTGTACATAATGTGTTGACTCAGGACTGATAAAGGAGACGTTATCCACTCAGCTGTTGGCAGAGGGATCAGGCCATATTTGCTGTTCAGGGATCAGAGAAAGGGAGGGAGCGAGAGAGAGAGAAAGTGTAGAGGAGAGTTTGACAGATTTACAGAGAGAAACGACTTCGAGTAAATATCTGTGTGTCGCTGTCAGCTTCTCATAGGCTGCTGCAGAGAAATAAGTAGATCAGACACTAAAGATGTTAACTTAGAGCTCATCGTGAGTGATGAGTCATAATGTAGGAAGGCTTTTCTTCCTGTTAAATGTCAGACTGCATCAGTAACTTTCTTCTTCATCTTCTGGTTAAATGGATCCTGATGCAGGATAATCTGCTGCACGGGGTTTATAAAGAGTCCTCATCCGGGGCAGGAGGGGATACACAGAAAAGCTATCTTCAGTCTTTCCACAGCACCCATTCTGATGAGCAAAATGTTGGTATTTGATTACTCAGAGTGAGTTAGGACCAAATTTGGTGCTGCAGACGGGCAGTCTACATATCTGAGGTTTGAGTCACTGCAGCTCCGCGGGGAAACATTCACTTTTCTTCACAATTATCAGCCGTTGTTTGTGATTTCAGTTCGACCTGCTCCGGTTCTTTTTCCTCTGCTATAATCATCCCTTTCTTTCGTTCGAGAGCTTTTCTTTTGCTGACTGATTCGAGCCCAGATTTTACCTCTCGACTCCACCACAATGCCAGTATTTCAGTCTGATATCGGCGGGAGCAGCCAAATGTCTGATGAAGGGTTTGGCCTTGTTTTTATGAAAGGCATGACGCCGACACGTTGCAGATTTCATTACAAAATTAAGTGAAGTTACAAAACAGAGAAATGAAGATTCGAGACAGCATTAAAAGATAGACGGAGGATATTCGGGTACTCTCAAAAACAAAGAACAGGGTCTGAAATTAACACCCAAGTGAAAATGTGGGCGGGGTCGCTGTGACTAAGGATGGATCAACAGCTCTGTTACCAACAATTTATACTTTATAAGTAAGAATAATGTCTCATCCTCAGTACCTGCACCCCCTCGGCCTCCTGGGTCATGACCCTGTTAACTGACGACTTTCATCCGAATAAAGTTGCCAGTTAGTTAACGTATTCACCAGTTATCAGCGTCACTCGTTAAAGAGAAACACCGGCGAGCCGCAGGACGCAAACACCACAGCGGTACGGCTGTGTGGTAAGGCGGGAACAGGCTTCTTCAGGGTGCACGTAGGTGGATGTGCGTGAGGGTAATTTTTCCTTTTTATATCACCAACATCAGCTTGCTTTACACTCAGGCCAGTACAACAGTTTATTTACAGTAAAAACACAAACCACAGGAGACTGCACACTCAACACTTACAGATGTAACTGAGGAGCTTTTATTAACACTGATTAGAGCAATGTGTTTCACTCAGGGGCTTCGTCAACTCTTTGTTACCCATAACACCCTTCTCTACATAGGCCCACACGTATTTTAAGAAAACAATCATTTCAGCCAGAGTGAAAGTTGTGTGTGAAACGCCTCACGAGTCGGGTTGACTATCAAACCTCTAGGGTTGTTTGGTTCCAACTCTTTTATAGTCCTGTTCGCTTTTTCTCTGATCAGATCGTTTCTGATTTTAGTCATATGTTAAATTATTAAGTTCTTGTATTGCTGCTTGTGTTTAAAGAACATTTGAACACAGTGTGTTGAAACCATGGCTGTGGAAATTCCTTATCGCCTGTGTCCATCTCTGGCCTTTCCTTCCCTTTTCAGGGTCATGCCGGTCATTAAAGATCACAAGCAATGAGTGGTTGAAACATCTCCTTAACCCACTCACTGCAGGAACAAAAAGCACCTCGATCACGATGTTCTGACACAGTGAGCATCTTAAAAAGACAATGAACATAAATAATAATAATGATAAACTTTATTTATACAGCATTTTTCAAATCAAATGTACAAAGTGTCTTACATGGAGCCAGGATTAAATACATTCCAGGAGGCAATAAGGCAAAATAAAGTCAGAGAAATTTAATCACACAGAAGTGAGGCAGAATTAAAAGAATAAAAAAACAAGTACCAACAATAGAACAGATAAAACAAAACCAAAATAGTTTTAAACAGTTGTAAGATACAAAATTCAAAGCATAAAATACCCATCACTAATATATGGTTTTTAAAGATATGTTTTAAGAAGTGATTTAAAAGTTGTCACCAATTCAGCAGCCTCAGACCCTCGGGGCAGGGAACAGCCTGAGCCGGGACTGAGGAACCCGAGGATCTGAGGCTGCAGGGAGATACACTGAAACACACAGCAGACTCACTGAGAGCTTACTGACTGGTTCTTAATGTTTGTTGTCGTCTGTGCAGCTTCACGGAACGATGAGAGTCGTGATGGAGCCTCTGCTGGGGGACATGCCTCTGATCGGAGCCCTGTCCGTCTTTTTCCTCAAGAAACCGGTGAGTACTTTGACCTTTGAACCCCCGACCCTTCTTACAGAAGTTACAGAATTTGGTGTGATAACTAGCAGAGATGTTGCAGTGACATATACTGCGCAGACCCAGCCGATTACACTTCTACCAAACAACATCCACTTCCTGAACGTTGCCCGGCCCCAGACCTCCCTTTATCAGTGCATTCCTTCTCTCTGACTGCTCTCTTCCTTCCTGTGCCCAGCACATTTCATCTTCCAGATTCAGACTTTGATACTGGTGGTACCCACAGAAAAGAGAACCACCATCAAAAGCCTCAAACAGAATTTTTAACGGTGAATTTTTAAAGTTCTCCTCCATAAAAATGCATTTTCAGTCTGAAGTTAGAAGGAGACATCAGTTTTAACATTTGTGGGGTTTTACCAGTAGAAGTCTGCAGCCAAGAATGATTCTATCTTTTTCTTCTATCATCAACTGTCAGCGTGAGGAAAACTCAGGTTCAGATTATCGGAAGAGAGGGGAAATAATTTCAGGATTTGGTCTGGATGTATTTTTGTGCTGCACCAGGCGTCCAGAAAGATTGTGTTCATTTGTATCTTCTGCATCTGGGTGGAGTTCACTGATAAGCCGCTGTTTAGGCGTTGTTGTTAGGTGAGTTGATGCATCTTCACATCTCATGCCACAAAGGAACTGACACCACTTCTGTCACATCAGATATAGGCCGGGTTGTTTGGTGGCGTACTGTCACTGTACTGGGGGTTTCTCTGATGTATGTGACTTCGCGCCGTAAAGCAATTTGTGAATCTCGCGAGATGTGGCGGGACGCCCCCTTTCAGACTTGCATTGCTGGCCCTCTCCAGCTTTGCTATCGGGATGATTCTCTATACTACGAGTTCGTTTACCATCGAAATGACTTCGAAGCTGTTATATTAAGGTAAAAATCTTGCATAGTGTGCCTTTAAATGGGAGTTTTGTCTTGCTCCTTATAGTTACCTAAAGATCCAAGTTTCTCAGCCACTGAGTCTGCAGTGTATCTTCTTTTGACCTGGCACCATGCTGTCCAAACACCGCTCACTAAACTGCCTTACAGTGCTATAACCACCTGTCCGCTATATTCTAATGACTGAAAACTAAATATTAATAACTAAAAACACCACAGTTTGGTTCACTATAAAATCACACGCTGACTTTAGTACAAACCAAACAATATCGGAAGATAAATAACAGTCAAAACAACACGTTTTACCACTTGGTGTCTCTTCAGGAAGTCGAGTATCGGTGTCACTCAGCATCAGCCAGCTTATCTCTGAGTGTTGGCTAATGCTGAAATGTGTCCTGGAGGCCTGGATCAGCTGATTGTTGATCAGTGTCTTGCTTTTGTTTTCGTTTGATGTCGTACCACAACGGTTCAGTAGAGGGTTTAATAGTTTTTGTTAAACTGTTTTAACTTAATTTACAGCCATGTTAGCTGTGTAGCTCGAGGGATGGCAACATCCGTCTATCTGTCGGTCCTTCACTTTGTTACAGACTGAAATAAAAAAAACTATTTTCATATATATATTTTTGGGAGGTTTTTATTGCCTTTAATTGGCAATTGGAGGAGAGAGGTGGGGGGGATATTTGTTAATCTGGTTGTCATCATCTGATCTAAAATTTTCAATACTTGCATTTACTTTCTTTATAACCAAATACCTGCAGGATCAATGGCAACTCTTATTCTTGTTTCAGTGTGTTCTGTAAAAATTTAAACAAACCCTAAAACCAAAGTGCCCCAAACACAGTCGTACTGTATATGGTGAACATTTTACGATTCAAAACATAATTGAATTTTTAGCTGAAAAAGCATCTAAACACGTCACAAAGAAAGGAAAAACTCATTACAGGTGAATTAGTCAAGTTATATTAGCACGGTATTAATATAATAAGATATTTCTGTTTTCATAAAAACACAGGAGGTATCTTTCACTGGATTGTCTGTTTCACAAATGACTGGATGAGCCCTGCTGCTATCAGTCCAATGGGAACTGCAGTTACGTTGACCTTTAAATATTCCCTGTGGTTTTATAGTTTTAGTTGTGTCATTAAATCCCAACCATATGGGAGTCTGTGCTGTTTAAAGTAACACTAAAGCAGCTTTTACATGTTCCAACTTGAACGCAGCTTCAGCTTCCTGCAGCTTTGTTGAACTGTTTGACTATTTTGGATGTCTTTAACACGTTCGGTGACATTCTGTGCCAACAGTTAGTTTATTAAGTCGTCGAGATAACTTTGTTCTTCCTGAGCTGACTGGTAAGCGTGGCGCATTGTTGTGGTGCATTGTTTCAGCGATGTCATTAGATTCACATACCAGTCATTGTCTGGTTTTATCTGGAATGTATTATTTGTACATCTTGTCAGCAATGAGGTTCAAAGTTCTTTAAAGAGTGCCCTCTATGTGGAAATCTGTTTAAGGATGAATGAACAAACTGCTGCTGTGGTTTCATATAAACAATCTGTGGTTATATTAAAGTTCTTATAGTTTGATTATCGATGTTTTTTTGTCCTTGCAGTAGTCAATGAGCTTAACAGTTCATTCTAATTCTTTGAAATAGTAGCTCAACAAAATAATCTTGACTCCAGTTATACTGACTGTGTTTTTCCAGAGCTTTTAACTAAATGTGTGTCATTCGGGGTTTTTTTGTCATTTGTCTTCACCATGACTGAGTCATCTCTTCTTTTTAGATGTGGTTGAATGCTCCAGAAAAAAGCAGGTAAACGGACTTTGACACAAGATTATTATTTAAAACATAGCATGAATTGGAGTTCCCTTTCCTGTATCGTGTTCGGAGCTTAAATGTCTCTATAAAGGAAGTTTGAACTGACACAGGAAACAAATCCAACTGTATTCAAAATCTCTGTCAGCCACACCTGGTTAATTTTCGCTGTAGATGACATATTGCTCTGCCTTCACTTCAGCTACGCAGCGAGCGAAACACACTTCCAATAATGCTTCCATTAAAACCTTGGAGGCTTTTAATGTGAAACTGAAAACTGAGACACTGAAACAACAAGATTCACCAAAGTGTTTTCTAGCTGTGTCAGGAAGTGTCACCAGTGAAAGATCAATATGAAGTACACGATAAATAATCCAGTAAACATAAACATAAAGTCAGTTAACCCAATTAACAGTTATTTAGAATATTGCATTAACAACACATTGGCTCCAGGCAGCTAGCATTGTGGTTAGCTTGGTTAGCAGTAAACATTATATATCTATGTTGAGTAATTCTCACAGATTAGAAAATGAATGAAACAGGGTTGTTTATGTATTTTAAATGGTTTCTAAGACAACCAGCACCGTCATCAAAGAGCCTTCAGAGAATTTTAAAACCAAAACTGAAAGTGTACAATAAAACGTAAAGCATTATTATTATATCTTATGTACCATTGTTTTTAGTGACAGTTATTTTTTTATAAGACTCGTTCTGTGAAATCCCTCCCACTGCCTTCATTGTCTTCCTGTGCCACTCTGGCACAGCGGCATTGTGGTCCACTGTGGTCTACATCTAGAGCGCTAACTAGGCCACAGAAAGTCATACGCTCACACGCCAGCGGTCACATGTGCTGTACATTCAATTTGTCACATATCTGCACCGAGGTTACGGGAAAGTCTCACATAAAGATTAAAGAGAAGCCAATTTCACACACCGAGAGCAGTTTATTGGTCGTAGTAAGTGCTATAGATACAGGGCGTCCCTCTACAGCTCTGGAGGAAGCTTTTCCCCTCTGAGGATAAGTCTGAGTAACAACACTCGAGCAGCCCAGCTTTAAATATTTAACTCTGTTACAAACTAGATATATGGATTAAAAACATGGACACCCACCAGGAAGGAAGGATATATGTAAAGACACAATGGAGTTATATTATGGGAAGTGTAGGATCCAGCGTTTTAGGAGCTTGACCCGTACAACTAAAGATATTTAGGCCTGTTCTTGGTAATTTGTCCTACAATGTGTTTCCTGTAGATCTGACTGACAAAGGAAACCTGACTGATAGGTTAACCTTCACACAATTTCTTGCAGTCGCCGGCTCGCAGACAAGAAAACACAAACTGCCTGTTTTTTCCTGCTGACTGGAATTTTTTAAATGACCAAAAATCCTGCCTGTTGAGTGCAAACTGGACGAGTTAAAGACCCTCTTGGTTTGTGTATTGTTTCTGGACAGATAACTGAGATAAATGCTCCAGAACAGGGTTGTTTTTGGAATGAAGTCTGAATAGTGCTCGTTAGCTCGCTAATTCAACTAAGTTAAGTGAAATTTGGCAATGTAAAAGCAACAAATTAAAGCAGTGAATGGGCCGTACTCTAGTGTATCACTCGCACACCACTCAAAATGTCCCGTAAATCAGACCATGACTGCCATACAAGGCTTACTTCCTGTTTCCAGCAGGTGGCGCTATGACTATACCTGAACATTTGCATGTAGATGTGTTCAGGACGGGACTTTTATCAAACGTGTGCATTTTAGTGCAGGTTGGACAAATTACACTGAAGTTACAACAAATTTGGCACCACGCCACGGACACGCCCTTCGAGTAAAGTTTGATAACTGTACATCGTGATGGTCTTTAGAGTACACTGAACAAATTTTAAGCCTATCCGATCAAATCATTAGGAGGAGTTTGTTAAACTACAAGTGCAAGATGACCACTAAATTAAAAATTTCCGACTTCCTGTTGGATGTTGGGTTAAAGGTCCTCGAGGCTTTATTGTACGTCTGATATCGGTGGTGCTGGTGAGCCATTATACCCACAGAATACGCCGTTTTGTGCTACGCCGCATGTTGTAGCCTCTATAAGCGACTGTAGACGGTCCAAACAGTCTTCGTGCACACATACAAACACAACCACGTTCCCGTCCTCACACACAAACACACTGCTGAACACACACAGATGAAAGGCAGCTGCCCCACTGCTCTGAATATCTACACTGCAGGCGGGAAAATGAGAAGGAAGTCTGTACAAAATACCGTCTGCAAGACTAAATGAGAGGGAGCGGCGAGCAACCACCGAAACGTTTCAACATTTACTGCTGCTGAACTCTGGAGGTTTTTGTGCATTTGTTGACTTACACTGTTGTTCTCTTAAATAAATAATTCGTTAAAGGAACAGGAACAATACAGAACAACCAGAACACTCATCGTTAGTTGTTTCAAAGGGCCGAGACAGACCTCGCAGTGATTATGTAATGGAGAGACTTTTATTGCTGTAAACACTTCAGTAATCTTACACCAGACTGCCTGAGGCTTCAGTCTCTGCACAGTGAGGACAACATGTTGGTGTTTACAGTACAGGCTTTACTAAATAGGTGACCTTTCACATTAAATTGCTCTGCAGAATTTACAAACATCTTTTTAAAAAGTCCATAGTCCATTATCAGTTCTGTTTAAAGGACCAGTGTGCCTTCCAAGTGAGTAGGAGAAACTACAGTGGCCCTATCTAGAGCCAGGGTTTGGTTTGTACCACTGTAGAAAACTACTATTTCAGGGATCTTAGATTAAGATTTAACCTTTTCTTCTGAGAGCTGCTCATCTCCCACCTGCAGGTCTTTACTTCAGATCCAGCAGAGTTTCTAGGGATTAACATTAACTCCACCTTCACCAGCTGCAACACTAAAGTGATACACTCATGCATTCATCAATAATTATAATCCATTAATATAATCTATATTATTCTACAATGGATGATTCTGCAGATGAGTTTTGGTACTTTGAGAAGATTTTGAGTATTTCTACACTGTTTTATTGCTACTTTTACGATATTTAAGATATTTACAGAAATATTTCAGCAGTTTCTTGCTCTTCATTTACTTCAGCCTTAACAGCTTCCAGCATTTGACATTTTAAGCCTCTTTTATAACCTTTTCAACTTTGTGGTCACTCTTAATCTCTCTCACACACTCACACACACACTCACATACACACACACACACACACACACACACACACACACTCCTTCCTTACTCATACACAGATCCCTCCACCTTTCAATGTCAGTGATGTGCTCTAACACACAAACTCGCTGACATCGGGTCTTTCCACATTAAGTCCACATTATACGTTAACGTTGACAGCCGGCGCCGTGCTCACACTCCTTTTATGGTCGGCGGCGGACTCGTGTTATTTTCAGCTGGATGCCTTCCCAACGTGAGTCTGCTGATTGTCTCGTGAGCCAGACGGTGCAGTGTGTGTGTGTGTGTGTGTGTGTGTGTGTGTGTGTGTGTGGAGATGATTGAACGGCGACCAGCAGTGGGTCCAGGTCCTCTGCAGGAGCACTGCAGGCTGAGAGCTGGTTCCCAATATGAAACAGATACTCGTACAAATCAGTTCTGATCGATTTGTTTACTCTCTGAAAATCAAATAGTCCTGATTATAGGGACGGAGAGCCTCCCTGTCTCAGGCCGGGTAGTCGCTGCTCGCTCACCATCCAGACTTATACACCCGCCCTAAAATCATGTGGACTCACAAATGGACGCTCCATAATGTGCTATCCATTTAAAATGTCACATCATCAGGATTTTAATAGATTTTTCAGTGAACATTGTGAATCACATCGCAATATCTGTCAAATTAATCACCATACAATCTTTTTACTGTATTGTGCAGTCTTAATTATGAATATTATTAGATATTACTATAATAATATATCACAATCTTAAGGTTTTTCCAATATTTAGCTATAAATATCACAACATATTTAATGATATTACAAATACATGCAAAGTCAAGCGTAAAATAATGAAGGTCATATTTAATTAAATTGTATTCAACATAAATAACACTATCCTTTTAATGAACTGCTGAATGCTGCTGTGCATTAGCTTCAAAGAGTCCCTTAACATCCGTAAACAAACAATTGTTTGTGTTATAGATTAGTCATTTGATCTTCACAACATCAGAAAACAGTCACAGTTTCCACAGCCCATAAAGGTTTTATCAGAGAACAACTGTCCCCAAAATATTCAGTTTAATATAATGTTGGATGGGTGCAATGTTTGGCTGTCCACATACTTTTGGCCATGTTTTGTCTTCCATTACTACTGTACCTACTGTTCTTATTACTCCACCTCTGCTGCTCCTGCTGCTACAACTGTGGCTGGTAATATAACAGCAGCAGTAACTGTGGTATCCAGTGGGTCTGTCAGGTATCGCTGCTGTGATTGAGCCTCCCTTAATGACTGCTGGAGGTTCCGGTCAGACCCAGTGACATAATGTTCCTCATAATCCGGTTCCTCAGGTAACCCAGTTTTTATGTGGAAGTACATAAGCCTCATGGTAACTGGGTTAGAAAACCAGGGTAAGCTCCCATTCTGAATATGAGAACTCTGGCTGTGTGGAGGTTTCCTGTATGAAACTGGGTGTGGGGGATGGGTTACTGCCTGCAGGGGTTCTGTTCACCTGTGCAAACTCTGATCTGCACGTTGTTTTCTGGGTAATGCCAACAAATACACCTACACCTATCACTGTGTAGTCTGTTCTGTTTGTTCTTGAACAACTCGAGGGCTCATTCGCAGGGTTTGAAAAGTCAATATGAACAGCTTATGTTGAATTATTGAAATTGTGAAAGCGTTGTAGTGAGCAGTGTCTTTTATAGACTCCATTACAGTTCAGTATTTTAATGGGATTCTCTGTCAGCCGGGTTTGTTTTCTTTGTTATCCACCCGAGAGGTTATAGACATTGTTGGAATTAAAGTTTAGAGTTTTTTGGAGAGTTTGCAGTCGAGGACATCACACACAGACGCTCATAAATTAGTATTGCGATACCAGAAGATCAGAGATCTCTGTCTACCAAACGTCTGGAGATTTCTGAATGTTAACTGGAGATAAAGCAAACCACTCAGCTTTTTAAAAGATTGAAAATAGGCGTCCGAAGCACAAGGGTTCCACGTCCCGGCCATGAAGGCGTTGAATTCGGTTCCACGATGCAGGGTTTTCGATCCCTGGCTCTTCCTGTGTTTATTTCCAATGGTTCCCAGTGTGTACATGCAGAGAACCCTTTAAAGTCTCTCAGGTGAATCTCAGCTGCTTTACTTACCTTTCATTTAAAGTTCTATCAGGAGATGTTTGCTGCAGTAAAAGCAGATTAATGCTCATTAATATTAATATTCTCCATCAGCAGGTCAATATTCCCTTTCTCATCTACTGCAGCATCTAACAGCTGTTTATCTGTTAATGTAATGTCCTAAGACAGTGAGACGGGTACCGTACCGCATACTTCCTGTCGGTATGAAGCTAACCCAATCTGCCCGGGTCGTATTGATCATCGGGTCGATTGAATTAGAGTTAAGCTCCTCGGCTGCTCTGCTGACTCATGACGCAGCGGTGAGGAGCGGATGAGAATACGATGAACTACACACTAGACTAAAACTATATATATTATATATTATAAATGTCATGAAACACGAGCTGTCAGTTTAATATTAACCAAAATAAGTTTAATATTAATATTTTATTATGGTGTTTATTTATATGTATTATTAATATGTTTTTTTAGGAATTATTTAGTATATTTTATAAGGTTTTGGGGTTTTAAATGAGAAACACTGCTGTCATGGCCACAAATTTATCTACAGAAATAATTTATAGATAGAAACGTAGGTAAATTCGTTGGGGTCGCAGTGATACCACTGTTGAAGCTGTCAGACAAATAGTTTTGGCGGGAGGCGCACTGATGGCCAGCAACGCCCTCTCACGGCCCCATCTACTCCCATGTTAATTTTAGATGACAAATCTTGAAAGACGCTCGTTGAACCTCTTCTCTCTCATCTCCCAGGTACTTTTTAACTTAAACCACTAAAACTTGGCAGCGCTATAGTCAACAAGATGCGACGCCCACGGTTTTCGGTTTCATTTGGTCGTTCCTGGCCATGTTTTGAGGGGATTCGTTTTAATTGTTTTCTGTTCTCTGAGGAGTTAGAGACGAGAGAGTGCCAGCTGCTGTGGGCTCCCCTGATTGCCATGACAACCGAAGCCTGCTCACACACACACACACACACACACACACAGCTAGCTACAGAGAATGACAAGACATTAATAAGCTAGCGCTAGCTGGCTAGCTAAAGATAATTAGCAGGCGGCTAAATAGCAAACAATTTAAAGCTGAATGATTTTAATATTAATACAAAATAAGTTCAATACACCTTAAATATTTTACCCTACTCTGAGCTGTTCCTTAATTTACTTTAGCACTCCTTCAGGAGCATAATACAATTAAACACATTAACCAAAGCTAGCACTTAGCTAGCGATTAGCGGTTAGCTAGCGATTAGCACGTAGCTAAGCGCTAGCTTTGGTTTATGTGTTTATGTGTGCTAGCTCTAGCTAGCTAGCTAAAGAGAATGACATGATATTAATATGCTAGCGCTAGCTAAGGAGGATGACAGGTTATCAATATGCTATAGGGAGGATTACATGGCATTAATAATCTAGCGCTAGCTGGCTAGCTAAAGATAATTAGAAGGTGGCTAACAAGCAAACTATTTAAAGCTGAATGATTTTAATATTAACACAAAATAAGAACAATACACCTTAAATATTTTACCTACTATGAGCTGTTCCTTAATTTACATTAGCACTTCTTCAGGAGCATAATACAATTAAACACATTAACCAAAGCTAGCACTTAGCTAGCGATTAGCGGTTGACTTAGCTGGATTAGCGCAGAGCTAGCGATGAGCTGTTAGCTAGGATTAGCGCACAGCTAGCGATTAGCGGTTGACGTAGACATGGTATTAACATATGGGCCAGAGCAAGGCACAATCAAAATTGCTTTAGGAATTTTCTAGTTCATATTTCTTCTCTCTCTCAGTTGCTGGACATCAACTGGACAGGACTCACGAACATGCTGGACATTCCCGGTGTCAAGTAAGTAACTGCGTGTGTGTGTGTGTGTGTGTGTGTGTGTGTGTGTGTGTGTGTGTGTGTGTGTTTTCTGGAAATTGTGCATTCTCATTTGCTGTCTGTCTGTGTGATTTTTTTATTGGTCTTTGCTTCCATTGATTTTAATTAGAATTAATAATTTTACTGTGTTGTTCAGAGCCGAGCAGCCACATCCTGGACACACACACACACACACACACACACACACACACACACACACACACACACACACAGATTCCTTTGATATCATGGCCAGGTGGCCTCACACAGTTCCTCAGGGAGCTAGCTGGCTATTAGAGAGAGCAGCTGTGTGTGTGTGTGTGTGTGTGTGTGTGTGTGTGTGTGTGTGTGTGTGTGTGTGTGGGTGTGTGTAATAGAGACATGATGTCATTCCTGTGTCTATTTTGTCTCTGTGTGGACGTGTCCTCACACACCCTATGTTTGGGTCTCAGTGTGCTATATGTGGCATAAAAACACATAGTTTAGTTCTGTGTAAACTTTTATTTGCAGACTTTTTTTTCTGGCATTGCATTGTGGGAATATTACCACTAGAAAATATTGTATGATTTAGCGTCATGTGATCAGGCTCTAGCTGAAACCTACCTGTGAGCTTTGGACACACTCTGATGCCTGTTAATGAGTTTACAGCGTATTCATTGTAATTTCTCCTTTAAATGAGACACAGTGCCGTTCAGCATCAACCATGTGTGACTTATTTCATATTCTAATCAACCGACAAAGGAATTTGAGCAGCACAGACGCACCTTATTATATTACATTCCTCTTAAACCACAAGAATCCTTTCTACATACCTCTGAACAACCTTAGTCGCCATCTGCGTTTTCAGTTTTCTTCCATGTTTGTTCTATCGGAGAAGAGTTTGTCCGTTAAGTTCCAGGAAATCTTCCCTAAGGAGTTCTTCTACATTCAGTTTCACTCTCAGAAACACATTTTGTGTATCCTTGAGGCAGATTTTTGACATTTGAAACCTGCGTTGTGTTAACACCCATTTACACCAGCGATAACTCTTCTCCTCTCCGAGGCGTTTCCTGTGCATCGCTGCCTTTCTTGCCACATTAAATCTGCCTTTAGATCAGTGGAATAGTGTGAAACCATTGGTAGAAATGTGTACTACGACGACGCAAGACAAACTAAAGAGGAACCCACTCAGAGAAACTGCTCCGTAGCGCTACTAGAGGTCAAAAACTTACAAGTGACCTTTTATGCATCTCCCCAAAGAGTCCCTTTAATAAAGAGACATCTACAAAACTGAGACCTTGAATCACTTACACTTACTTAATATTTATTTGTTGCTTTCTCAGACCCTAGAAAATCAGTTTATCTCTGTGTGAACTCGTCTCATTGTGGGAAAGGCTCTGGAAAGAGACGTCAGTGCTCATGTGTAGTGCAAACCAGTAAGAGGAAAAAGCTTTTTTAGAGTTGTGAATAGGAGCCATCTTCAAACCCATTATCTAGTTCCCATTATACATCCACGGTTCAGCTCTTTCTAACTGCCTGGTTCTTTCTCTCTTTAGTCCAACATATGAGCTGAAATATAAAACACAACACAGTACAGCAGATATTGCTGTTTGACTCCTGCATAAACATAAAAGTAGGAATACCAGAGATACAATAAAAAGACATTGATGTCGTTGTACTTGCTTCTTCTTCCAGCTGCTGCAGCCTCCACTCCACCAGAAAGCCCAAAATACAAATATAAATGACATAACTTCTTTAAGTGTGATACTGGTGCACCATTAATTATGTAACTGTGCCATGTCCACTAGAATATATTAGCATAATGGTTCAGTAGTGGATGGAAATACACACAGATTTACACCTTCAGATATTTCACTTAAAATCAGCCCAGTTTTGCTGGTTCAACACTTTAATAGCGAACCGGAGAGAGCTGCTGTGGGTTGAACCGCTGTGGTAACAGGTTAGAGAGTGAAGCAGGTTTTTTTTTTTTAGTCCATGTCAGAAAATATCACATCTGATTACTCTGAACCCAGAACAGTAGGAAAACTGAAAACCCGCCGAGCACTCGGTGCTTTTTGGAGCGTGCAGGAGCACATCCTTCCCGCACGGTATAATGACAAAATGAAGCCGGAGCTTTGAAGAGAGGTTCCCAGTGGACGCGCAGCCAGGGCGGACTCTCAGGCTCTCAGGCCCTTCTGCTGAAACCATTACCTTAACCACCGGATCACAGAATGGATTATGACCTTTATTTCTCTCCGCTAAGTGTTGGTATTTATAGTAACGTGATTATGGAAGGACGTGATGTTTGGGGAGGTTTGGGAGAAGGGTTTCCAGACTTTCTTCAGTTGAGCATCGACCTCGAGGGGACACAGCAACAAACTTTAGATCGAACAGAAAAATACACACGAAACATAGTGTACATCCTACTTTCTGAGGGTCTTTGAGTCCACTATGGAGAGCTGAGAGAGACCGGTCCTGGTCCAGTATTAAGAACACCTCATTCACCCATCATCATAAACATCAGGCTGATCCAGGGGTCACCATGCTAACATAATCATTATGATAGTGAGCAGGTAGCAAGGAGACGTGGGCCCCACATGGGCTATGCTAGGCTACATGGGTAGCGAGGGTAAGGGCCCAGAGGGTGTGGGGTGAAATGGGTTTTTTGGGGGGAAATTACAAGAATAAAGTCGTAATTTTATGAGAACTCCTCCCGCTGCGTTAAAATGAGGAATGTTGAGCATCTTGTGAAGTTATTCTTTGGTATCGGTTTCACAAATAAGGAAATACTTAATCTTTTGGCTCATCAGCGTCAAATTATTATCAGTGTCAGGACTTTGAAACGATTGTGCAAACGACTGTGTCTCTTTCAAAGAAAGAACCACACGGACTCGGAAGAAATAGCTTCTTTTGTACTTTATTCTCGTATTATTACGACTTTATTGTCGTAATTTATTTATTTATTTTTCCTCTTAGTATGGCCCTAATGCTCCGTCGTATTTAAGATCTCACTTTCCCCTCAGATTTTTCTGTATTGTTGATTTTATGTTTTATTGGACTTTCAGCCATAATTTGACATTAATTTTTAAAGCAAATGACAACAAGCAGATTACTGACAGAGAGGTTGAAAGGCGGGCCACAGGTGGTGAACACCTCCTCCTGCAGAGCGCCGTTATCACACTGCTAACTGAGCTCACTCCTCTGTATTGACCCGTTGCTGTTTCCTGCTGGCTCACTGTTTGTTTGTTTTCAGCTCAGAAACTCGCTGCGGTTTCCAAAAGACTCCGCCCTGTGAAATGTAGCTTTCCTTGTTCGACAAGTTTGCAGGAAAACCCCAGCCTGTGTCTGTGTGTGTGTGTGTGTGTGTGTGTGTGAAGACCTGCCCTCACCCCACCCTCCTCACTCTCTTCCTGTGTGTTAGCGAGAGGGTACCCATCATTATTCCCCCACTGATGATTTGCATTTTGTCCTGACACAGCAGGAAGTCCTGAGGTTGTGTAACATTTATGTGGAGATAATTGCGTGTTCTAGCGAGCGTGCAGACCAGGAATCAGCATGTCAACACCAAAATCAACTTTGCATTGCAAATTCTAGTCTGAACCTGACCCAGGATCAGCTCTTTGGAGAGGGTTGCTGGTTGTTTCTGTAGTAAAGCGACGCAGCTGTGCTTTAATGCAGGTTGCTGCCGCCCTCTAGAGGAGATAAGGCGAACTGCAGCTTCAGCTGTGTGTAGAGGTGGAATATTAGAGGATATTTAATGTTAATACATATTTATGCTTTAAAATCTACTTGCTACATGTTCAGACATGAAAAAACTGTTTTATTAAAAGGTCAGTTCACCCAAACTATGAAATAAACATAATTTTTCATTCAGCCGTGAATAATTTGGGTTTTATTTTCCCATTTTTTTAAGACTTCTTCTTTCAGCCCAATACAACAGAGAGACATTAATTTACAGCTTAAATTCAACAGCAACCTCTGTTTCCTGAGACAGTGTCCTCGTTACTCTAAACACTCTCTGTCCTCAGCTTCCATACAAACTACTTTCCTTATCGCTTCATCTGACCATCGTGTTTTTTGCTTCGGTTTTTATTAATTTATTTTCTATAAAATGTCAGAAAATAGTGAAAAATGCCTGTAACACTGTCATTCTTTCGAATAATATTCTCTTTACTCTCATGTAGGATTAAAGAAAGCATCAAAGTTTCACATGTGAGAAGTTTTAACCTGCAAAAATGTGTCAAGCGATGAATTGATCGTCAGAATAGTTGCTGGATTAAATAATGAATTAATTAAATGGTCACTATGGAAACACACTTTATTTTATGTCTCTCATATAGATGCTGGTTGTGAGTGTGTGGAACCAGAGAGGAGTGCGCTGTGTCACATAAGGACACTCGCTGCTGTGTGTGTGTGTGTGTGTGTGTGTGTGTGTGTGTGTGTGTTTGGACGTGTACGAGGCCGGTCTGTGGACAGCTGCAGGTCTTAACACTCCTTCAGCACTGAGAGCTGAATGACAACCAGGATGAGAGATTAAAACGCTTTTCACATATTCTCTATCCTCCCTCCATTCTTCATCACTCTCCTGTTCTCTCTCCTCCTCCTCCTCCTCCATCTGTCTCAGTGGTCTGTGTGACAACATCCTCCAGGACATCATCTACAGCTTCCTGGTGCTGCCCAACCGCATCACCATCCCCCTGGTGGGAGAGGCCCAGCTGGCCCAGCTACGCTTCCCCATGCCCAAGGTAACACACAGCAACACTAACACACACACACACACACACACACACACACACAGCAACACTAACACACCCACACACACACACACTGAAACTAACACACACACTATAAACTCATTTAAAAGCTGTTTTGTTTGTTCCTCCTGTGTTAGCGCCCTCTGCTGGTCCAGCCTCGTCCTTACGCTCTCTGTAACTCTTCTGTCTCCTCAGGGCGTCCTGAGGATCCACTTCCTCGAGGCCCAGGACCTGCTGGGTAAAGACAAGTTCCTAGGGGGGCTGATCAAAGGCAAGTCGGACCCGTACGGAGTCCTCCAGATCGGGACCCAGCTCTTCCAGAGCAAAGTCATCCACGAGACCGTCCACCCAAAATGGAACGAAGTGTACGAGGTGAGTCAGTCTGAGCGTGGAAAAGATTTACGAACAGATATTGATTATAACTCTGCCCAAACGTCTGTCTATAATAGGGACGGATATTTACAATAATCTCTCCATTCAGTTTGAATTAGATAAATAACAATATTGCATAAAACAATAAAGTGATATTCAGAGTTTATCCTGAACTTAAAGGATTTTATTTCACAACCAAGCAACTTTTATGTATCTTTTAAATTACTAAGAATATATGGTGAGTTTACAAGTTTACATTGTGCAGTCTTAACTGTGACTTTACGATAAATTACTATGGTCTACACATTACATTTATAGTAAATGCACTAATACTCACTAAGAAAAGGCACAAAGTTGGATTTTGTCTTTTTTTTTTGTTTCTGTTTTTACCAAATTATAGTCTTTAGTTTTTAAAGAACTTTATCAGGAACTGAACCCTTTTTCTTCGCCTAAACAAAACGTAGCGAGATGTTAAATGCTGACCTCAACATTAAGACATAACTGCGTATGAAGTCTGCAGAATTCCTCTTCTGTGGCCCAAGTTCAAAACGTTTCATCTTGAAAGAAAAACTCTCTCTTGGAAGAAAAACTGCTTCCGAACAGTCCGATCCACTGGAATCGTGTCCCTCCGAGCTCACCGATTCCTTCTGCTGGTGGTTCACATTGTGAAACTGTGACGTCAAACTTGCAACAAGAATGGCGGAGAGGAAGAAACGTGTGACAGCTGACAGCCGTGCTCGTTGCTGAAAATTTTTTTTTCACGCAATGTGGCCTGAAATTGTGAATATTAAAGTGTGTGTTTGTGTTTTCAGGCGTTGATTTACGATCACTCAGGACAGAATCTGGATGTGGAGCTGTTTGATGAAGACACTGATAAAGACGACTTCCTGGGAAGGTACGTCCGCTCCTTTCATCCTGATCCACGAGTAACCTGATCTAACCTCGCGTTCTCCTCCACCCGCCTCTGTTTACTTACTTACACACTACATTACTGTCTGTATGTATCTTTGCATGAGTGAAGGGACTTTATTATCAAAGCCAAATCTCCTCCAGACAATCAGTTGTAACAGTCATTTTGTCATAAATCCACAAAAAAGCTGCTCACATAGATTATATTATATTTGATGGATTAACTGTATTTATTCTGTATACTGTGCTTTAAAAGTCCTATTTCCCATAAAGAGTGTACAGTATGTAATATGATTTCACACTCCAGTTACCTTCTAGCGGTTTTTCCTCCCCTGAAAGTGACGAGGAGCTCACGGCGAGCTTTAACGAGTGCAGCGTTGTGTGTGTCTGACTTTAATTTCAGTTAACTCGCCGCCACGCCTCGTTCAGGAGCCCCTCAGTGAAAGTTCTGTCTCGTTTGTGATTTGTTTTTCAGTCTGATGATCGATCTGGGCGAGCTGCAGAAGGAACAGAAGGTCGATGAGGTAATCTGCAGCTCTTCCTCTCCGAGTTCCAGCAGTCGGCTCCACGTTAAAGCAGCGGACATGTTGCTCATTGTGGCGTCTCTGCACTGAAAGTTACATTGTTTTTCTGCCGTGATGGACACTAACTCCTGTGTTCTTGTTTTAATTTAGTTTATTTGGGTTTTTAGCTTCAAAAATCAAATTGTATGACTTTTTTTGCCTCTTTTTTTATTAGAATGACCAACCAGTACAAACCAAACATCATCAAAGGAATAGAAACAAACTTCATCTGTTGAGTTATTGCTCACATTATATAAAACATAAAACATAGCAGTTTGATTGATTGATAGTATTTCTCTCCTTCCCTTTATCTCTCTGCGCTATTAGGTGTTAATTATAATATTGATATCAACAAGGAACATTTGTTTGTCTTCAGTGGTTTGTGTTGGAGGATGTGGCCACGGGGAAGCTGCACCTCAGGCTGGAGTGGTTATCTCTGCTGCCCACACCTGAGAAGCTGGACCAGGTACCGAACCACAGCCTGAACCGAGCCCTTCATCAGAATGGTCAAACACGCTGAGCTATTAGCATTGACCGTGCTCTTTATCGTCCCCTCACAGGCGCTGATGAGCATCAAAGCCGATCGCGGTCACGCCAACGACGGCCTGTCGTCGGCGCTGCTCGTCGTCTTCCTGGATTCAGCCAGAAACCTGCCTGTAAGTCAGTCGGGTCCGACCTCCCAGAGTGCACCTGCAGTAACGATTTACAGTCTCTCCTTAGAGTCAACGAACATTAAATGTAGACACGAGCTGAGCCGCGGCGAGGTGAAATTATCATTACAGAATGTTGATTCCCGCTCCTGGGAATGGATGAAGTGCTTTTTGGTTCCAGTTGACACAGTTTGTTCACCTCCGTCTCTCACTCGTCTTCTTTTCTGCTCTTCGCTCCATCTCATCTTAAAGGTGCAGTAAAAAGACAACAGATCGTGTTATATATTAATAATGTTATTTAACTCTTTTTACTGGGATTTATGGCAAGAAAGAGGTTTGAGCCTGTTTTTTTATCAGTTTTAGCTGCTAAAAAGTTCAAAGTTATACAATTTGTGTAAAAAAAAAAACATTTAGTATTTTATAGGACGTCATTAAATAGACAGACTTTGTCTCAGCGCCCCCAGCGACCCTGGTACTTTAACTTTTAATACTTTAAATACATTTTCCTGATTCTACTTACACACTTTTACTTAGGGCATCGAGTATTTCGTACTTATTCTGCAGTGAAGGATCTGATCACTTCCTCCTCCACCGCTGTTAATAAATGATCTCTGAGACTGTCGCAGCACCTTTAAGTTAAAAGATGGAGTCTGTCCTGTCTCACAGTGTTTTCCAGCACAGAGAATTTTATCTGTTAGTGATTGAACTCTACAGGCTTCACCTTCCTCTTCTTCTCTGCTTCTCCCCTCTCCTCCCCCTCCTCCCCTCTGAAGAGCGTCTTCGAGGGGAACTTGGGCTCTGGCTACTTAAAAGAGAGGCGGGCGGCGGGCCTGGTGTTTTGCGAGAACACTGCCTCTCTCTATAGGACCCTATTTGTGAGTGCGCTGGCTGTTTTCTGCATCCTAGACTAGTTTTGGCCGAGCAGTGCCAAGGTGTGATCACCTCTGCTAGACGTCATGTTCCTTTCTCTTTTTCTACTTTTGCTCGTGTTTGGTTTTAAAAAACAAAACGCCGGTTTGAACCGTCTGCCTCGTGAGCATGAATCCCTACTTGTGCATGAGTTGAAGTTCTTTAATATCATTTATTTTTGTCGTGGCTGTTTGTTTGTTGGAGTTGGACTGATTACAGAGCGGAGGAACATCGAGTGTTTATGTTTTAGAACTATCAAAAGCATCCTTCCTCCTCTTTTATCGTCCCTCATAAGCAGTTATTGATCTGACAGGATTAGTTGCACTGATATAGTTCCAGATGGGTTACTACCCAGGAAGCAGACACTCTCTGTCTTTCACTTTCTCCTCAGAAGATGTTCTTTTAAAGGGATAAAACAACCAATGCTCCCGTATGGGTGCTGTTATAAAGCTCTAGGTTTAACTTTATATCCTGTAGCTGTCTCTGAGATCAGAAGTCCATGTATTGTTGTTTATTGTTTATTAAGGATCCCCATTAAAAGCACATGTATGGTTCTCCTGGGGTCCTAAACATCAGGAACACAGGACAAGCACACAATAAGAAAATACAACATTTAAATAATAATAGTAGATTAATCCACTAATGAGTGCAGACAAGAATGAAGTGATGGCAGATAACAATGCAATTAACATAAGAACAAAACAAACAACTTGAGCTCTAACAGTCAGTATACCTGCAGGGGAATGTTCTCATGCTCTGATATATTTCTTTATTTGCTTTCTAAAAGTTGTTTTGTTGTTTACAGTAGATATGATATCTTTGGGCAAAGAATTGTGCTGTTGACCTGTAATATGACCTGTTATATGTGTTTCATGTGGCGCATTCACACCGGAGTTAACTTTGTATTTTACTTGAATTTCTAAATTTCTAATCTGCTGCTGTGTGAGGCTGCAGCTACCAGAAACCTCTCTGCTCATTTAAAAAGTAACTTTACCAGGGGGGTTCCCACACATCCTGGAAAACCTGGATATTTACAAGACTTATTTTTCAGTCATGGAAACAACTGGAAATAATCTATGTTTTCCTGGATAGATTATAACGGTATTTTAGCCCCTGACTCGTCCACGTAAACTTATGTTTGAGGTAGTAAACTGTAGTCAAATCACAGGAAACCAGAAAGCGAGAGTAACGTTGACCAAGGTCCTGGAAGAAGATTTCTTAAAGAGTGGGTTCTGATACGGTACATTAAAATACCAGTTTAATACCTTAAATAAATAGAAAATTATGATTCCAAATCAGCAGTGAAATTTAGACTTAACCAATTACAGACATGGCAGAAGTCCCCAGATAAAACCAGTTCCCTGTGAATAGGGCTTAAAGAAAACCAACCCTTTAGCTGAAATGAGTTCTTGTTAGAGTTATTTATTTGTTAGTTGACAGGTTAAACAGTCTATAAGAGTGATTTGTACGATGTGTTGCAGCAGCAGATTAGTTATTGTGAGAGGAAGGAATGCTGTTTGATCACTGAGACACTGAGAGCAGGGAGGCTGAATTCTCTGTGGATTGCTTTCCCTCCATCCTCCCTCAACAAGCCCAGTTTGTGTGTGTGTGTGTGTGTGTGTGTGTGTGTGTGTGTGTGTGTGAGTGTGAGAGAGAGAGGTTTCACTCCTAACTCCGCCCACCAGGGGGCAGCACGGAGTTCTATGAAAAACTGAAGCACATCGGATCCATTTTTAAAGGAATACACAGACATTTCTACAGATACAGACACTGAATGCAGTTCTCAGTGTTGGCCAGCAGGTGTCACTGCGGACGCGTCAATAAGTCTGTGTGTCGCTTTAAAAAAACATCATCACATCGACCATCTGACATGAGCTGCGTTGAGTTTTTAAAGACTCACTCGTGCATGTTGAACCCCTGAGATAACATTAGCATTAGCATTCATACCTGTCGCTCAGTTTTTATCAGCTGTTCTGTGTATTGATGATGGAATATCAACGTATTTCATACCAATATATATAGAAATGTTATCACCACAACAGCAACATCTCCTCTCCTCGTCCGTCAGAGTGATTCCTTCTTCATTTTACTCTCCACATGTCGATCAATGACTCCCATCTGATGCTGTGGTATTTTGACTCGAGTCCAACCAATACGCTTTAGCTCAAACTGGGCAGATGTTGGCACAAATATGTGCAGAGAACCAAAACAAATTGCAGTTTATGAATGTTTTATATGCTGAAGAATCTAGAATTTAGTATATTCTGTTGTTTTTAAATTAAAATTGAACTCTGCAACGACACATTTGAGAGATAATCACCAAATTAATTATTAAAAATATTATTTAGATGCTTTTTTTACTCTTAAACCTGCACGTCTGAGTCCAGTATTGGTTTGACTCTAGTTTCCATGTCCAGGTTTAATTGGGGAATGACATTAACCATGTGATTGTCCATGTTGTCTCTCTGTCTGTCTTCATTGTGTCCTGACGTTTGGTGATGCCGGTGGTCCTGGTCCTGTGCTCTTCCTCCTCCCTGCATGCCCCCCTCTTTTCCCTAATAACCTGCTGGTGTGTGTGTCTGTTTGTGTGTGTGTGTGTGTGTTGTTTACTCTCTCCTGCCTTGTCCCTGGGGGAAAATCAAAGCGCAATCCGTTAGAGTTCAACCAAGCGGGGCTGAAGAAGGCCTCGGTCAGTAAGGCCATCAAGGTAACGACACGGTAAACGAAGCACACCCATACCGCTCAGACACCGAGGAGGCACACAGAGGAACACACGGGGCTTACATACGCAAACATTTATATTCCTGCACTGTGTGGCCAAGAGTATGTGGACGCGTTAACAGCCTCCGCTCTTCTGGTTGCAGTCTGAGCTGCAGGGATTTGCTCCCATTCAGTCACACGAGCATGAGTGAGGTCCGGCTCACATCGGTGTTCCAGTTCATCCCAAATGTGTGTGTGGATGGGTGGAGATCAGGGCTCCGTGCAGGGCCTGTTAGGTTTCTTTAAGACTTTGTGCACATGTTCATATCACATCTAAAATACCCTCGTATGCTGCAGCTTTAAGATCTCCTTTCATTGGAAGTGTCTGCATACCTTTTGGCCACATAGTCACAGCGTTAAAGGTAGTTTACTGCAAATAAAGCAAACAGTATATATGTCCATAATCACCTTTATACCTTATTATAACAATACTGTTTAATTATACAGTTTTAGACCCAAAGTTCACAGAACTGATTCAACATATAACCTTTGAAAATAAAAGCCATATATAAATTGGTCGATGGTTTTATTGTGAAAGGTATATGCAGAGGATTATTCACATAGAACTTTATTAAACTTCCTGGTTTTAGTTTATATTTTAAAACATGACTATGAATCCTTTGTTGAGTTGATCCTTCCTTCTGGAACCTCGGTGAACTTTCTCCTTTCCTGTCCGCAGACATGCTCTGTGCTACGTCGAACACATTTCGAAGATGGTTTAAAGATAAAAGCGACATATCGTCACATCTTAAGTTAGCTTTAACTTTATCTGTGACTAAATGTCGCTTCCATCTTTTAACTCTCTTCAACACTTAGCATATCTAAACACAGGAAAGGAGACAGTTGACGGAGGATCTGATGGAGGATTGTTGAACTGTTACTGGAGCACAGAGACAAAAAGGGGGCGGGACTTAGGAAGGGTACATTTGGGAGAAAGTTTGGAGATTTTTGGAAATATCAAGCTCATTAAGTTTATATGAAGAGAGCTCACTTGGTGATGTACCCAGCAGGGGGCGCTGCTGCTACTGGAACTGCACTTACTCTCTGACTGGTGTGAAATCATTAACAAACTCCACTAATCATGTTTTGTTGACTAAAACTGTGCACCGTGTCTAACAATGTGTGCTGTCAATAACAACATCCTGATCCAAAGTACATTTACACCTCCTGAAACTTTTAATTGATCTTTTCTTTGATCCAAAGTACATTTACACCTCCTGAAACTTTTAATTGATCTTTTCTTTTAAAACTGATCTGGGGTTTCCACACTTTACCTGGTGTCCTTTACTGCTCATCTCCCTTCCCATAAAAGTAACACATTTTGCCATACAGTGCTGAAATGTGTTGATTAGCAGCGGGTAGTTGATGTGATATCACACGCCCAGAAACGACGCTCAAAACTTACTGTACTGTATATTTCCTGTTCTCGTAAAAACATTTAACAGTATAATACACATTTTAGAGGTTTAGTGAGTAGCGTACTGACTAATAGCATGTTTAAGTTTATTATATTTGGTGAAAAAGATGCTCAAACAGGGTTAACCAAGAGTTATAGACTCAGTTTACTCCGTCAGCATCTTTTTTTAAAGAAATGAGTTTCTAGTTGAACTGAAAATACATTTTTGTGTTTCTATTAAGTAAAAAAAAAAACATTTCAGACGCTCTTTCCTGTTTGTTAAAACCTGTTTTTCTTCTTTTGCAGTCCGGTAAAAAAGTGACTAGCGTTCCGAGTCCGTTTGTCCAGTTCACAGTCGGACACAAGTCTTACGACAGCAAGGTGAGAGCGGAACATGATCCACATCGACACCCACCACCATTCATTCATCCATCCATCCATTCATTCATTCAGTACTGACCTTATCTCAAAAAGCACTGGAACTACAGCCGACGTAGCTTTGACGTAACGTAATACTTCTCATTCACTGAGGACATTTCAGTTAGCAAATATTTAATAGTTTGACTGGAAACAAGAGGAGACAGCAACTGGCTCTGTCAAAATGCTTAAAAACTCACTGATTACCACATCCAGCTCTGTACTTAACACACAGACACAAGATTGATATCAGTCTTCTCTCCAAAATGTTCAATATGGAACTAAACTGTTTGTATATTAACTATAGTTTTGGTATTTTCCCTCTTCCTCCTCTCTGTTGCGTCCTCTTCCAGACCAGATATAAGACCAATGAGCCGGTGTGGGAGGAAGCCTTCACCTTCCTCATCCACAACCCCAAGAGCCAGGAGTTGGAGGTTGAGGTACGTCTTTAGTAACTTCAGTTGGTGGATCACGTTTATCGGCAGTTAAATCTGGGATTATGAGCCGTGACTGACTTCATGGTGTTTGTTTCAGGTGAAGGATGAGAAACACGAGTGTTCGTTGGGGACGTTAAAGCTGCCTCTGAGCCGCCTGCTGGAGGCGGAGGACATGACGCTGAACCAGCGCTTCCCCCTGAAGAACTCGGGACCGAGCTGCACCGTGAAGATGAAGATGGCTCTGCGGGTGAGAGAGGAACCCGCACACGATGTTCTCTGTGTCATCCCCCATCTCCCTCCCTGCTTTCCTGTCACTCTTCAGTTGTTTCTGTCAATAACAAAATGCCCAAAATAAGCTTTATTCTTTAAAAAAATGAAGTAGATTTGGGAAATTTGACTATTTTCCGCATACTTCCGGTGTCAGAAACTAAAAAATGCCTTCAAACAAACCTTTTTTATGTATTTGATGCAGTCTGGATTATGTCAAACAGCATTATCAGGCTACTTGGCTCAATTGTTGAGCGTCTATGGGATCAAATAACATAATCATGACCCCATAGCGGGGGTGGGGGACCGCCTCTTTCCAAGCTTTGTCTCAGGGACTTTGCTGTAAGTGATAGTGATGACATACATTCAGCGCCATTAGATAAGCTAAAAGCCAAACTGTGTGGCAGTAAAGTGCTCCCTGCGGTCTGAGATACACAATAGAACAAGGTTTATTTAATGAATCATACAGAGTGGAGTGTGTTTAAAAAGCATTCACTATAGCTGTGGTTGATGTGGTTGAGATCTGTATCAGTATTTTGTGTTAATTAACCACCTTTAGAGCTGTAGACTACCAGACTAACTCGTTACCACTGCCTCCAGGCTTTAAGCTATCATTCACAGGTTGGAGGATCTGTAATAAAATGAGACAAACCGTTCACGTGTGTAAACAAATGACAGTTGGTTGTGTCCTCACATTTTTCTGTGTATAATTTCAGGTGTTGTGCTTGGAGAAGGACACATCCTTGCCCTCAGACTCCACCCCGTCCTCCGTACAGGTCCGTAAGTCCAGCAACGCCAGCAACCCCACCCCGCAGCCCTCCGTCTCCTCTGAGTCCCCCAGGCCTCCCTCCTCCAGCTCCGACATCCCTCGCTCGGCCTCGGTGTCCGCCCAGGACGTGCTGAACCGGAGGAGGGAGGGCGACGACTTCTTTAGGTCTGTGGGAAGCACAGACTTGGGGCAGGGTGGAGGAGGAGGAGGAGGAGGAGGAGGAGGAGGTCACGGCCTGGCAGAGGCCGGGAGGAGCACCTCCAACCTGGCCATCTCTGGTTCCCAGCAGTATCTGGCTGGAGGCAAGGAGCCGACGCCCAGCATCGCGTCGGACATCTCCAACCCCTACGCTGCCCAGGAGCTGCAGCTGAGGCTCCAGCAGCTGCAAAAGTACATCAGCCAGTCAAATATCAGTTTATCTGCTCCTAAAACATAAAGCTTTATTCTTCTAAATCTCTCTCTCTCTCTCTCTCTCTCTCTCTCTCTCTCTCTCTCTCTCTCTCTCTCTCTCTCTCTCTGTCTGTAGTGGTTCGGGCCCCAGTCACTTCCCACTGGGTGAGGTCCAGCTGACGGTCAGACACAGCTCCCAGAGGAACAAACTCATCGTGGTGGTTCACGGCTGCAGGTACGGCCCAGTAAAGAGTGCGACGTTCCTCCGCAGATACGGCGCTTTATGAGGTCGCCGTAACAATCCGTTTACCTTCCACAGAAACCTGATAGCGTTCACCGACCACGGCTCGGATCCTTACGTCCGCCTCTACCTGCTTCCTGACAAACGGAGGTCGGGCAGGAGGAAAACTCACACCTTCAAGAGAACCCTCAACCCGGTTTACGATCAGACGTGAGTCCGGCCGTCCCGCTCTCACGCGATTACTTTTATCCTGACTGATTGTTCAGTGGCTGAGCTGTGAGTGTCTGCTCTCTCTCCGCTCAGGTTCGAGTTCACTGTTTCCCTCGTGGAGCTCCACAGGCGGACTCTGGATGTTGCCGTGAAGAACGGTGGAGGCCTGCTCTCCAAACACAAAGGCCTCCTGGGAAAGGTACGGGCTTTCACTGGACGGGCAGATAACGGGGCAAAAGGCTCACTTCTTTCTTTTTTAAATGTACATAGTGATTTAAACACAGTCCGTATTTGTGTCATTGAAGCAAACTGTCGCCTTTCCTCATCAGGTTCTGGTGGATCTGACCCACGAGGACGTCAGCAAGGGTTGGACACAATGGTTAGTCTTTGATCTCTTCATCTTTTAATGATTCCTCAAGTTCATTTCTAAGAATCTAAAAGCACCAGAATCAAGTGAAACATCCCTTATCCCTTATAACTGATATCATGTGTCAGGATACAGTGAACAGCAGAAACGACAAAAGGTTATTTTTATAGAAGTTACCTCCTGCAGCTTTAAGATAAGACTCTAACTTATTATTGAGATGGTTGAGTGTGTTAATACGAGTCATGTGACACATAATATTAATATCCACAAGTGACAATATTTGGCAAAATTATAAATAACTTAAATAATGACGATAAAACGATTTATCTAGAGGGAATTTGTTGTGCAGCAGTTGTAAGCAGGAAATAGTGCAAACATAATATATCCTTAAAGATACGAGTATAAAAATGTACAAAAATATATTTTAATTAATAAAATGTCAGATGTCAGAAAAGTTTCCAAAATAAAAGCCTGTTTCTCCTTCTGCAGGTTTGAGCTGAGTGAAGACGGTCTGAAGAAGCCTAACCAACTATAGACGGCGACAACGGGAACCATCTTCATCATCATTATCTTCATCATCATCATCAATCCTATCACCACACTTCCACTTTACACACTTCCTCTTCCGTCTACAGCGTGGCTCTTTTTGTTTTTTTATTTGATTCTCATCACTTGTACGAGAAAAGGAACCAGAAAAGCAGCTTTTGACATTCATTTAATCACATCAGTCGCAAGGCAAACCTCCCCTTTAAGAAGTGAAAGGCTGATAGACTAAAGGGAGTATACAACATGTAGAATACTATATATTACATAATGTACTGCTGTGGAAGTCTATATTCCATATTTATAGGAGATAATTGTAACAGCTGTAGAGGAAGACAATCTATTTTTGTGCCGTCGCAGCGGCTTCCTGCCTCCAGTGTGGGTAAAGGACGAGGATGTACAGGTTTGTAAATAGACAGGACGATGCTGGACAGAACGGTGTATGCTAGAGAGAACAGAGAGCAGCGGTCTCTTACTTGGCCAAATGATTGTTTGTAATTTTATGCGATTATTATTTTTTATTTTTTTTTAAATGAAAAACATTCTGGACAAAGTTTTTTTGAAGCGGAGCCGGCGGGCGGGCGCAGGGAAAGACGCCACCAAAGAGACGAGAAGTATTTCAATCTTTCGCCCTCGGGGTTTTTTTTGTTTGTTTGTTTTTGGTAACGCAGCCTGTTTTAATTCACTGTAATAACGAGTGTGTTAATGAAAGGAAAGGACCGTGTGTTAATGAAAGGAAAGGACCGTGTGTTAATGAAAGGAAAGGACTGTGTGTTAATGAAAGGAAAGGACTGTGTGTTAATGAAAGGAAAGGACTGTGTTAATGAAAGGAAAGGACTGTGTGTTAATGAAAGGAAAGGACCGTGTGTTAATGAAAGGAAAGGACTGTGTGTTAATGAAAGGAAAGGACTGTGTGTTAATGAAAGGAAAGGACCGTGTGTTCCACCTGTTAATACGCCGGTTGTTACACACGAATAAGGCCGCTGTTAAGTGTTTGTTTTTTTAAACTGAATATTTGCACATCTGTGTTGTTTTTTTAATCTATTGGGGATCATCTTTAGTTCAACGTTGCCTCAATTCTTTTAGCCAAAACAATTTCTGACCTTAAATCTAACAAAAATTATACGTTAAAAAGAATTAAAGTGTTTAAATAATATATCTTTTAATGGAATATCTACAGCCATGAGATTGTTAATTAAAGGGAAATGGTCTGAATGCTAAGCTAAGCTAACTGATTGCTATCTTAATGTTTAACACTGTTCTCAAACTTCTCATCTAATTATTGGTCAGGAAAAAAAATATTTACCAAAATCTTAACTTACAAACTCAAGTGATTAATTTAACCCATTATATTATTATAACCCACATTTTCTTCATTTATCTAAAGCCACTATTAATGAGGTTTATGATTCCTCACTTCAGCGCCATCTGGTGGTAATAGTAAGAAAACTCACTGTGACAACCAAACTGTAAATTCTCATCTCACCAGACCTTTATTTGGAACAGGCTTGTATTAGAGACAGTCTTTTATTTCTAATTTCCTCTGTTTTCCCCGAGAAATATGAAGTAAAAACTTAATGTTTACCTTTAAATTAATAATATTAATATAGGTTGAGAGCAACAGTCTCAGTTTCTCTTCTCACACAGAAATTCAGTTTTTATTAATTCAGTTCAAGTTGTTCCATTTTGCAGTTTTTTCCTTAATCATGAAGAAAAACACTTCCTGACAGTTTTTCACATTAAAAGTCCTGGTCTTTTATTGTGCAACATCTGCAGCCTGTATTTGAAGAACCTTAATGTGTCTGTGCGGCCCGTCCCTCGGCTGAGACCTCACCATTATTTACCATTGTTATATGAGAATTAACCCTTTACACACCTGCACAAACACTGAGGGGAACGAGCTGAAAGCGCCACAAAGACTTTCACCGAACAAACAAAACCTTTGAAAGACGCTTTTATTCACAGAAGATTTCTACAAATAGTGGCTTTAAAAAGTGAGAAAATGTCCGAAACTAAGAAATGAAACATTATGTCTCAATGGGCTTTATTTAGTTTATTTTCAGTGAGGTTGTTAACGTGATAAACTCGACTACATTCATTCTGAGTTCTTCACATTGTGTTTATGAGTCAACATTAGTCTTAACTTGTCACGAAATGTAATTTTTGGCACGTTGTTGTGTCTTATTTGTTTGTTCAGTTACACGCAAAATATGCGCAGGAGTTACGCTGGGTTTGCTTCGCGGGCAGCAGACTTTTATTTTGAAATGAGAAAACCGAAATCTGTTACCGTTTATAAATATGGGGAACGAAACAGGACGTTTCTTTGTTTTCTGTTTTTGTTTTGAAATCAAGAAACAGAAAAGTGGCTGTTTTATTGGTTTTCTGTTTTTTATTTTCAAAATAAAAGTTGGAAAACTGTTTATTTTGAAAGCAAGAAAGGAAAACAGATTGTCTTTGTTTTATGTTTTTTTTTACTTTCAAAACAAAAGTTTTTTTATTTTGAAAACAAGAAGTGTTTTTTAATTTTCTTTGTTTTTTTTTTTAATTTTCAAAACAAAAAATGGAAAACAGGTTTCGTAATTTCTTTTTTTTTTTTTTTTTAAAATCAGAAAACAGGTTTGTTTTCTGTTTTTGGTTTTCTCATTTCAAAACAAAAGTTCACCCACCATTAAGACACAGACCAGAGTTTAAAATGACATTTCTCTTTTTTTATATCTAACACACACGCACACACACACACACACACACACACACACACACACACACACACACACACACACACTGTGTTCACTCACATATTAAACGCTGCTTCCACGTTACAGCACTCTCTCATAAGGGATTCACATCAGTAACCACACGTATCATTCTTGGTATCAAGCTCTAAAGCAATGCACACGTTATCTACGCGGCCCTACGAAGCCAAAGAGCAGCAGTTTGTGTCGATACAGAGGAGGCTCGTGTGACCTTTGACCCTCAACACACAAATATAGACTTTTGCCTTGTTGTGTTCATATCTCGCGTCAAGAAAGTATTTTACATACGTGTACGTAAACTGTGCCGTTCTGCATTTTATGTCTCAGTGTTTTTTTATTTGTGTTTTCCAGCCGTCGCTCTCTTGCTCTCGTCCTGTGTTTTATTTTGTAAGAATCGAACGGTTTGTGTGTCAGCCATTGGATCTGAGTGCTACGTGCCTCTGGGGTGGACTCGTCTTCTCCGTCTTCTTAATTTATCTTGTGCCTTAAACTTCACTCGACCCAGAGACATTCACATGTATAAAGAACCAAGTTTCCCATGTTTCAGAATGTCTCCTTAAATGTCTTTTAAAACAAATAAAGAGCTTTAGCTGGCTATAGCGGCAGCTGTACAGCACTGTGGCTCCTCGTGGTTCTTTTCACATACGCTCACTGCAGAGGATTTAAGGTGGCGTAGGACGATACAGCCACAGTTAGAGACCAACTGGTAGATTTATCTGGTGTGTGTGTGTGTGTGTGTGTGTAGGTTTAGGTGTGCAGCAGCTTTCACCAGCAACATAAAGTGCTTTACATAAGACAAACGCATTAAGAAAAGATATGAATGGAACAAAAGGCAATGTGAAAACACATAAATAAGATTTAAAAAGAGTAAAACAATCCAAAAGTGAACACTTTACAGTGTATTAGGTGAGACAAATGCTAATAACTTCTCCATAAAGTAGAAGATAGCTCACGTACAGCAGTGTAGAGCAAACCAAAGTTAACCAGACAACTGGATTGGATCTCATTGTCTCATGTAATGTAATATATTGGTTCACTTATGGTCAATAAAATACTGAATTTATCTAAGCCTATTAAGTTTCTTCAAAATTATTTAAAAATAAACACATAATAGAGACAGAGAATTGTATAAAAAGTTCCTTAAACAGAAAATAATCTTATTTTAATATTCTTTATTCAGGAATATGAAACAGGCCTCGAATAAAGGGCAGTTGTTTCAGATGTTAGTGTGCTTTAATAATATTACCAGTGAACAAGGGACACATGATGACCACAGCCAGGGGCCTCTCTCGGGGCTCCTTCAGATTCCCCTTGAAGTCAATGAAACAAGGCGGTAGAAACGCTACCGCTTCTGTCCACAGGGGGCCGCCAGAATCAGCCTTAGCGGACCCGTTTGGACTGTGAGAGACCGGGACCGACAACGGCATGCAACCCTGACGGAGGACAGTTTGAAGACAGGGAATAAAGAACAAGAGGTGTTTTTTGTTTTTGTTGCCAGGTTTCGGCTCCTGTTGTCGATCACCACTCCCGACTACAAATACTTTTTTTGGAGTGCTGCTGCTACACTGCAATTCCCCAGCTTGGGATCAATAAAGTATATCTATCTATCTATCTATCCATCTATCTATCTATCTATCTATCTATCTATCTATCTATCTATCTATCTATCTATCTATCTATCTATCTATCTATCTATCTATCTGTCTATCTATCTATCTATCTATCTATCTATCTATCTATCTATCTATCTATCTATCTATCTATCTATCTATCATCTTTAAAAAGGAAACTCCATACATCACCTCGGTACCGCTGTCGTCAAACAGGTTGCAGGTTAACTGGCAGCTACATTAGCAGTCAGAGGGAAAACCAGACAATATGATCCAGTTTCACCCAAATCACTGATAAAGTTGTTTGTACAGAAATCTGTGAGCTCTGCTGTTTTTTGGTATTAATTAACTTTAATTGAACAATAACAATTATAAGAGTGGAATTTATCTTCTTATCTAAGTTCTCTTTAACCTTCAAACATAAAGCAATAAAAGTACATCATTTACTGATATTAACTGAGTTTGGGAGAGTTTTCTCTAATATTTAATATATAATATAATAATAATGATAAAATAATAGATACATTATAATGTTTAATGGATGCACAGAGACTTAATAAGGCTCCATTGTAACACTTGAATGCCACCTGAGGGCATTTTATATTAAAGATAAAGAAGAGACAACCTTCCTCTCCTTCACCTGCTTTCAACTGACAACCTGAAGTATTTCCGACAGCACCTGAAGGCAGCAGCAGTGCTGAATCAGGGCTGAGAGCTCCGTGAGCCCTTCAAGTCAGACCAAAAAGTCCGGATATTCACTGATTCGACTCACCTTCAAAATAAAAGTATAAAAAGAATTGGTGTGGTGTACAGAGAAATACATTTTATGGGACAAAACTCTTTCTGTGAGATCATTTGTATAACACACACACATATAAATACATATATATATATATATATATATATATATATATATATATATATATATATATTATATATAAATATATATATATATACATATAAGTTATAGGATTCACCTCATATGCAGAATCAGTGAGACTTACCTTTATTCTGTCGTTTTATTTAAATTTGTATGGCTTCTATTCTGCTCCTATTGTTGTATTAGTTTTTTAGTTTTTAAATAAATGCTATGTAAATAAAGTTATTGTTATTATTATAACAACTTTATTTACATTCTTATTATTAATAATTATTATTATTTATTATTATCATTATTAATAATAATATATACTTTGCATGTATTTCGTGTGCAACAACCTACTGACATATAATAATAATAATAATTTTAAAATGTTCTTTTACTAAAATAAACTTTTACTGTAATTTATCTTATTTATTTTATTCTTCATTTGTATTTATATTGCATATATTTATTTTATTTTACACGTTTTTTATTCTTTGAAATTATTTTTTTACAAAAACGAAAACAGAAAACATTTTTAATCCTGTACATTAAATTAAATATAAATATACATTGTATTTAAAGTATTGTATTGTGTTTGTATTATTGTATTATTGAATTTCCTATATTGTGTGTTTGTCAATGATTGTCTAAGTTTGAAAATATATGAAAAGGTAAACAAATATGATACTGTTTTTTAATTTTACATTTGTAGCAACTTGCTGTGATTTAATATAAATAAACTAAAATCCACTTTTGGCCTTTTACACCTTATTTCTCCACAAAATGTTGTTGTTCAGACCTTTATTGTGAAAGCCCTCCCCCCCCACCACCGGAAGCAGTGCCTAAGCGCTCGTGCCTTGACGCTGAGAGAGCTCGAGCCTCCAGCAGCAGCAGCAGCAGCAGAAACGCCCTGCATCCTTTCTCTCTCTCCTCTCCTCCCAACATCCATCCACCGCCCGTCAGCCTCCCCCCGGCTCTCCTCTGCCCCTGCAGCCGCGGAAGAGCCACTCTGAGCGGGCAGGAAGACGAACCGAACCCCCCTGGAAGAAATGGCCTTTTAACACTTTAGAGAAAAACCCAGAAGAGAGAGAGAGACATGGAGCCTTTTTCCTTCCTCCTCCTCCTCTTCATCGCTTCCCTCAGCGGCTCCTTCGCTTCTGCTGACCGGAGATTCGGTGAGTAAAATAAAAACATATATATTTATCCTCCGTGGTAACCGGAGCACCGGAGACACACCGGGGGAGGCTGTGTGTTTGTAGCCGAGCTGTGTCAACATTGTGTCGGCAGGAGCTGGCAGGAACCGGCGGGCTGGTTCACCGCAGCTTCACCTGAACCGAGGAAAAACAAACAGTGTGATCCTGTTTGAGCAGGAAGATCCAGAGAGAGAGAGACAGAGAGAGAGACAGAGAGAGAGAGAGACAGTCTCTGCTGATACAGGATCAATACACTGGATTTATAACTGGGCCTGTTAGTGAGCACGAGCTGTAATCAGACTACATTTTAAAGGTTATTTATAGTTAGACTATATTATAAATACATTGTTGGAAATAGTTTTAATTTTGTAAAATAGTATAAAATAAAAATATATACAATATAAATACTAATGAAATGTAAAATAAATAAGATAAATTACATAGTAACAGAAAATATATTATTATTATTGTTGTTGTTGTTGTTATATAATTCAAAGTGATACAAAATAATAAATACAAAAAGTAAGAGAAAAACATTAACGTATAACTAAAAAAATAATAATAAATGCATGAATTATTTAAAATAATTCAGGAATACCGTCAATAAAATACAAAGTTTAAAATAATTACATAGAAATATACTAATAATATAAATTAAATATACAGAATAAAATACAGAAATTACACAATATCAGAATATTAGTTAAAATACTAATATTAGAATATTGATTTGATTAAAAACAATAAATAAATAACTGAATACATAAAAAATATTGAAAAATAATTCAAGACAGCAAATACAATTATACATTAATTATAAACTTTATAAACAACCTGCTCAGAGAATTAAAATACAGTTATAACCTATTAAAGCACCAAATGTGAAATAAAGTAAGAGCTGGCAGTCAACAACAACAACAACAACAACAACAACAACCTCACTGATAACATCAACACAAAGCAATGAAAAATGAGCTCTCGCACACACCTCTCTCTCTCTCTCACTATTGATCGCAGTGTGTGTGTGTGTGTGTGTGTGTGTGTGTGTGTGTGTGTGTGTGTGTGTGTGTGTGTGTGTACAGTCTATAAATACAGTCTCTGATATCTAATATTCCTCCACTGATTCGAGGCTGCAGGATGACTGATGCAGAAATGTGCTGGAAGGAGGAGGAAGAGCAGGAAGAAGCTGGTGCTGAGAGGGAGGTGTGTTTCCAGACCCTCCTCCTCCTCCTCCTCCTCCTCCTCTTCTTCAGATTACATAAGCAGTGTACAGAGAGTGTGGCAGACAGGGCCGAGACCGTCGGTGTGTAATGTAGTAATGTTGTTGATGGAGACGGTTTAATGACAGAAATCGAACAACGACATAATAAAACAGTGTTATCTTCCTCCTCAAAGACAGCACTTCATGTGAAATGTGTCCTCTGAGGCTACCGTACGGTGGCTCCATGTAAACAGGAAGAAGCAGGATAATATTATTACTAGTTGAATACTTTATGTCTTTAAAAGCAGTGAAATAGAGACATAGGGGGATGAGCTCTAGAGACCAAAAGGCTGTTGGGTTTTTAATATGAGGCCTTATGGAGCCTCACTGCTGGAGCCTCTAGTGGCCGTTAGAGGAACTGCAGGTTGTGGCACTTCCACATTGACGGTTAATGGCGGTTAAAGATTGTTTTGATGGAGGCTTTTTACACTATTTTGTGTTGAGTTTCCTTGTTTTCTTTTGTTTTCTAACATCTTTGGAACCATGTTAGAAATTTAAAGCTGCAGTAACGGATTGTTTTTGGCCACTTTTGGCAGAAACACAACACTGACACATCGGCGCCTTTTAACCGTTGGTACAGTTCATTTCCACATCCGGCAGTTATGGAGCGACATTAGCGTTTATTCAGAGTCGTGTTTGTGTCCCACTGATGGCTGAAGGTCCAGTATTGACTCTCTTTGAGCTCCACTATGTTCACCAGCTCTAACTTCATCAGCTTTTACTTTGTCTGCTGTTTGGTGCTGAGCAGGTGGCGCCATACGACCTCTGGTCAAAGGTTTCATGTCTGTAAGTTGCTTGCAGTTAAACCAAAAAGTGAGTTTCTCCTCTGGGATTGTTTAAAAAGAGAATATTTAGAGGCCTGAAACGGTGAAAGTGCAGTATTTTGCAAAAGAGAAGCAAAGATCAGAAATACATTTAAAAGATCATTTTGTGAATTGAGTTTTTTCTTATTCACATTCAAGTTATTTCACGTTGAATTAATAATCTGAATGTATGAACCAGTAACTTGTCAGATAATTGTGTTGTTGGAGTAAAAAATATTTGGTAGAAGGTGAAAATAAATAAAAAGTGAATGTACTTAATTACGTCCCCACTCTGAATGAAAGTATTCTGTATAAACAGTGAATCTACCAACAGCTACGACTCTGTCTCTCTTTAATTAAGCGTCCTCGCCTTCGAGTGACTTTCTGTGTTTTGAGATCATTTCGACCTGCGCCATAAAAACCTTTACTGGATTATACAAAGTAAAAAGTGGAAGTATCCCATTATTCCTCATTGGACATTTTTGTTTTAATCAAAATTTGCTTTGCTCATAATATTCTTACAATATTTAAAAAGTTCCAGTAATTTGCCTTCAGGGACGCCGTAGTGGCTCTCAGGAGTGAACATATCCTGAGTGGATCAAACCTTCTGTGATACTGCTGGGCACCCGTAATAACACATGTGTATTTATATATGTAGGTGCACCACTGTTACATTTCATAATAGTTTGAGCTCATAATGTCTCTTAACTGAGGACATCAGGTAGTTTGGTTCCGAAGAAGATGATCAAGATGATTAGGTACAGGACGGTATGAAAGTGTCCCGATTATCTTGGCGATACATGAAAATATACGTCATACTTTTAACACGGCTTTACATTTTGTGAAGAAACACTCAACATATTTATTGCTTTATCATCTTCCTGTTCTTTATTTTAGATTTTCACACATCTGGAATAACTTATACTCATAAGATAGGAGCTCTCCGTTGTCCCCTTGTTCTACATAAATCATGAAATCAGTACAGGACTGTACGCTGGAGATCTGAACAGCTTGTTCCAGTCAAACCACGTGACGATATTCAGGTGATAATATTGTATATTGTCTCAAAATAATAACTCTAAAGTCATTAAACATTCTCATAAACATGTTTGCTCTTCCAGAGTAGCTTGAAATGATTCCTGAAATCTGTACAACCAAACATAAAAGATTATATACGTCAAAGTAATCAATACATAGTGATTGAAAAGATTTCTAAATGTTTCTGGGCGCTCCAGAAGTTATTTGAATTATGCTCATTTTTTAGTTTTTGAGAACGTAACGTAATGTTGATTGGAGGTCAGTTTATGTGTCACATCTCTTCACACAACACTCCTCTGAGTTGTCGTCATATATTTTGGGGGATATGTGGCTTTTAAAACGTGCAGAAAGTTTCAAAGTGCGAAAGAGAGTCACTGAAGATTCAGAGAAAAATCATCAATCTCCCAAAACCTCGACATAACCTTCATCTTTAACAAACCTTTGCACGTGAAACTGTCCAGTTTGTGTCTAACGGTGCTGTGAATAGATTTTAAAGATGCCAAAGTCCGATAAACAGATATCCAGTTTAACTCTCCGGCTGATGACGTTTCCATCGTATAATGATCACTAGTGTTGCAGCTGGTTGCTACAGGATGTAATGAAGGTCTACAGAGGTCTCTGGTGGGAAGTGATGTGTTTACAGTGAACAGAAGTTACCAGTCTGTATGTTTCTGTGGTCTAAGAACAGCAGGCATGTTGGTTTAACGTCGAGAGCAACAGGTTGTGGTTGAGAGTTTGGACCTTCCTGTGTGGTTCATCATCGACTGTCCTTCCCACCACACGCCGTCCGTTGTCACTAATAGTCTCTCTCACACACCTTTGGGGTTGTTTGTGCTGGATGATGAAGTGAGCAGGAAACGCTGCCCAGCCGACGCGCTATCACCGTTTCACTGGTTTCTGCTGTGTGCTTTGGCAGCGCACCTTAAGAGGTCTTCTGAACTGAACCTTCAGTGTCATCTATATTTATCTGACAACTAGGGCTGTGTATTGGCGATATGATACACAATACAGGCCTTATATATATGTATATATCGCATTTAAGTAAGGCGATATTTTTCTCTTTAAATGTAATTTTATGAAAACTGTCTCAGTATGAAGAACACACCACCATTTGCATAAAATCGGAGTAAAGTTGAGTTTACTTTTGCGACCACAAATGTGGGAACTGCATTATGTTTGTTTAAAATCAGCCTTCAACTTTACATTTGAGAATCAAAAAACAAAATATTATAATAATAATGACAACTGGAGTTAGTTTTTAGATTCAGATTTTACATTAAATGTGAGATATGATCATTAAATACCCCTCCTATAGAGTAAAAACTTTATAATGAATGAATCCATCCAATATCTATAAATCAATTGATCGTTGGATCTATAGGACAACAAAGTTTACATCGATACAAAACAGAGAACAGCAGGAAATGTCCCATTGGAGAAGCTGGAACAGATACATATATTTGATATTAATCGCATGTGAAACAGCAGGTCTTATGGAACACTTTGACATTTGACATTTCCTGACTTTTTGCTGCTTTATGATTTATTTTTGGAGATTTCTGTCCACTTTTAGGGATTTAATTACGTTACATATGTTAGAAATGTTAAGTATTGATGTGTTGAAATGTACCAGCTGTGTTTTAATGCCAGTGAACACCTTCTTTTGATACTTATTAGGATTATTTTTCCCTCACATATTTCACAACCCTCTGATTTGAGCCACATTTTACCTCCTGAGATTGGAAACCGCGGGGCTGTGCTCGGCTCACGTCTCCTAATCATTAACCCGGGACCTGGAGAAGGTCACCGCTGCTTTTTGCCCGGTGTGACTGTAGCCATGGCGACGCTCATTAACATCTCATCCGTGGCCGATTGGTCGG